TTTTTAAACATGGCAAGATCCCAAACTGGATGTATCCAAATACAGCTCTATACGGCCTATTCATGAACCAACCAGATCACTGCCAAATTGTGGTATTAAGTGTATCCATTCAGTGCACAATAGATAGTTTAGTCAAGGGTATAAAGATATAATTACAGACTGAGTGCTCCCAGTTTAACTGAGCCAGAATGAAATTTAAATTGTGCAACTATTTTTTAAAAGGTAAGCCAGTGATCCTTGGTGATTTCCATATCAGCTCTCTAAAATCAAGAACAAAACCAACACTCACCAGCCGGAAAAGTTTGAAAAAGTCGACATTGGCATAGAATTTGTCCTCGATGATCTGTAGTCGCTGTGGAGTGAGGATGCACATGGCGTTGCGAACTGCGTAGAGTCCTCGACGGCTGGGGAAAATGAGGAATCGCTCGAGCAAGTTGAGGCTGCACGCAATGTCTTTTAAATGCAAGTCTGGGACTCCAAAAGCAAACTGGAAAAAAGCAGATTTATGCAGATTCAGATGACATCAGCAAAAACAGCAGCAATCTGATGTGTATGTCACTGCTCTGTGACGTCTTTTGTCTGTTAGCTTTTATTCTGTCTTGAATTAAACAGCTGTATATTGTTGTGATGCATGCTTAATCACCCAGGTAACCAAGTCCTGTTCATCTGGGCATCCAAGTGGCATCTTCAGTCTCAGCTGGCTGCAAGTTTCCCCAGCTTTATAAACACTACATTTGCATAATGACTAAAACTGGTTACTACTGACTAACAATGGGCCGTGGTCAGTTTCATGATGGTTAATTTGCAGTTGTCATGACCACTGATCGCCTGTATATTTCCCTTGTTTTTCTACCATTTGTATTCCATACTGCACTCCACCAGAATCCTTGCCTTGGTGGTATGAAGCAATATCAGTGTCTTGACTTCTTAATGGTAAAATGTCACACTGTGTACCCTTGGCTATGTGCGTGTGTTTATGCATGTGTGTGAGCACCCGTGTACCTGTTCAGGCCTGATTTGGGCATTAACTAGATGATACACTACAGACTCGGTCAGAGGAATGTCTCTGAGGAGGAATGACGTCAGAGTCTCGTCATCCTTCAGGATAGTCTCCACTTTTACCCCTCGACCTGTAGACAAACAGAGGCAGTTCGTGTAATGGAAAAATCATAAGAACGGTTTCGTGTCTTTAACTGTCTTTAACCTTTCACAGTGAATGACTGTCATGGCTAGATAACTGTTCGCTGTTTGATATGGAACTGGATAAACTGGACAAGTTGGAAAAAGCTTAGTTTCATAGTAACACATATTGGGCAAGTTGTGACAAATGTGTTTCATTAAATGACACAATTTCCAGTTGCCTGTCTGTGCATGAATGAAGGCTGCATTGCAAGGCAAAGTGCTGTTCTGGCTTTTATCCAGGCTGTGCCCCTGATGAACAAGGTTAGAGATGAACTTGTTGGAAATGACTCTAAACACAAATTAAACAAACAAAGCCGAAACGTGTGTGTGTGTGTGTGTGTGTGTGTGTGTGGTGGGTGGGTTATTGATGTCATTAAAGAAAAATACTAGCAGTAAATGCTGAATCAAGACAATTCTAAATATGTTTTAGCCAAGAGGTTTAATCTCAAATATTTCCTTATTTTTCCCCTTTTTCTTTTCTCCTCCTCTGTCTCTTTTTTTCCATTCCTGATCACTTCTGCCACTCCCTGCCTGTCAACTCTGGAATTCCTAAAATGCACATATACTAATGTGAATAACAAATACGTAAAATGAAATCAAACATGAAAACGAGTAACAAGAGAAGCCAATTGAGCAGGGTTGTCAAACATAAGGCATGGGAGAGAGAATCAGCTCGGCAAAGACTCCAATGGCTTTGGAAAAAGTAAATGACAGGTTAAATCTTGGACTTTTAACTATATTTTGATAGATTTTATAGCGTTTCCTGTTGATAAAGACCTCCTAACATATCCATTATGCCAAAGTAATTAAGTAGCAGATGAAAAACAACTAAATGACAGAAAAGTTATCTGAGCAATAAAAAACAGGATATTTTCTTTCAATTGACAAAAACTTTCTTTTTCATAGTTACAGGAGAGTCTAAGGAATAATTCTACAGCAACATTTCTTTGTTGTGTAGAAAGTCTGTACTGTTGAAACTGCACTGATTTTTCTTATATTAAGACATCTTAGAAATTGAATAAATCTTTACACTTACACAAAGGCGAGTTTGACTCATCCAGCCCACTTAACATCAAAGTGAGCTGTATGTGGCCCACGATGTAAAATGCAAAGCAAATATGTTTGGCACCACAGTGCACGTGGATCATGATTCTGCTTGCTAATAATGCCAGATGTGTGAAAAAGAGGTCAGACGATTTTCCTGTTTAATATCCACGAGTCACAGTTGTCATTTATATAACTTTATTCTCAACATGATTTAGTTTTCCTTCCCGGGGCTCATGGGAACACGAGTGGAATGTGGATGTGGATCTCTGTTAGCTCTGTTAGTCCATCTACATATTTCTGCATGAAAGTGGCAACACAGAGAGCAGCCAGACATAATCATCCAAAGCCTGGAATGCACTCAGCTCCATTCCACTCCCATCAAAAAGGTTTATTTTGCCAGTAGGGAAGCATGGCATATGTACAGTGCACACGTATATGTGAACAGAGCGCAGCCTGCATGCAGGCCCTTGAGATGGGATCAGTGTTTCTGGGAGTGTTGATGGGTGGTATATGAATTGCTTTCCCACCAAATAAACAGCGTGCTAGCAGCAAAAGTAAGCAGCTTAGTTTGCGAGCCGGTCTTAAACCGTTGTGATGTAATCGTGTTACTCCACGCAGACACCACAGACAAACTGATGGGAAAGAATGTGAGGTGTGATGTAAACTGCGATTACCAGGGGACGGGTTCAACTTTTAAAAGATCAACAACTTATGTGTCACAATACCTCTAAAAAATAATAAAGATTTCAATAAACTACTTTAAGCCATTGTTGGGTAATTCAGAAAAAAGCTTTTATTCCACTGCTTTAATGAAAGAACTTTATAAATGAACCTTTCTGACCGTGGATTTACTTCTAAAGGCTTCTGCTGGATGTTGATGAAAGCCCAGAGCACTGACCTGAGACTTTTTCAGGATGAGTACGTAGCGTGTCCATGAAGTTGCTCATAGCATTGAGCTCCCTCCATAGGCGACCAAGCTGCAAAAACTCTGGGTCCATAAAAAGAAGCTCTTCAGCATCCGAATAGAACCGAGCCAATCTGAGGAGGAAGGCCGTAATATTAACAATTATTATTAAGGCTAAATACCTAGATTCATCTCTTTCACTCGACTTAATAATTTTGCCTGTTCATCTTAGATCAGACACTTAATACGAATCCAAAACTCTTCCCACTGCCAGCCTACAGTTGATGCTTACATGGAGTTGTTGTAGTTGGACACCAGGCCAGGAGATTCACCACGGGTGGGGTATTGAAAACAAGGGTTGTTGGCATTACAGAAGATTCCTTGGATCCATGGCAGGACCCCAGCGGAGGGCATGGCTTTATTGGGGAAATGACCTGAGGCGGATGAGAACATTTATGAATTGCAATAGATACAGAGGATATTGTTTTTCTGTCTCAGCGGGCTGTGCTAATATTTTCCAGCCAAGAACTGTTTGCTCACATTCATGTTGGCGATAAAGTGGATTTACTTTTCGTAGCCACACCAGCCCCATGAACAGCATAACAGGCCACAAGATCTCCATGAACAAACGTACCTGGTTAAAACAGACAACATCTTTTAAATGAGAAGGTTTTCCAGTTTTAGTTGTGGTTTCTATCAATCTGACAAATTCTCCACTCTTACCAACCCCAGTTTGGGACAAAATCAGTAATGATGCGTTAGTTTTTAAGTATATTCTGGGCTCGCATAAAAAAAAAAGACTTACACTGCATAATATGCATTAAAAAATGAAAGATATATTTAGTAATGTGAGAACTGGTGGGGTCAAAAGCTCTGGAGGCATAGCTTAACCTTTACTGGGACAACTGGAGTGTGGAACTTTTACCCTTTGCCTCCTGCGGATGGTCCAGTTCTTCCACAGCAGGAGTCTGACCTGTCTTCCTGCCCCCATGGTGCCTCCTTTTCACCCCCGCAGGGGCTGGCTATAGCCAGTAAATCTGTATTGAACCAGACCATAAAACATCTTACAGGCCAAGTAAGGCTAACTTTTGTCTTACAAAACTACTCATGACTCTAAAATGCAATTTGCATTTGAAAGGCTAAATTTTGTCGATGAACTCACAAGTCGGTCCATTCATCTGGTGAGAACTCCATGTGAAAGCTAGCAGTAGCTTAGTAATGAGGTTAATGAGCTCAAGACCTTGACATGGTCAGATTTACAATTATAGACTTGTCAAACGCTCTTTCGCTACAATTTCTGGTTAACGCCAATCCCCCCAAAAATAAAATAAGATGAAATCCCACACTGTCTGTGCACCCACACCATACATTTAATCTAGTTTAGTTCCAATCATGATGGCATTCTCTATCCATTCATTGTTTCCACATACTTCCACCATAATCCAAAGCACACAGTGCAACTTAAATTGTCACTTACCTCAGAAGAGCACCTGTACTGTAGATTGATCGCCAATAACAACAAAATAACTCTGCATATTCTACAGACTGTTTGCTGTGGTTGCAAACACAGCTTGTTTCCAGACCTCCAGAATAGTTAAGCAGATTGTTTTAATCTCCTTTCTCGGTGCTGGGAGCCTGCTAACACCTCTCTGCCATTTGTAGAGGCCTGCATGACCCAGCCACCTGGCATTAACAGTGCGGTATAATCCTACCACTATTATAATCCCATCACTCTTACATTTTCCTTACATTTTAACAAAAACTTGAATCTCTATTCGCAGATTATCATCCTGCATGAACTCAGTTTATTGCATTACACAGATTAAATTAATATTCCAAAAACACGCACAAAAGACCATCACTGTTGTAAGTTGTCAGATATATTTTAATAAGTTACAAAAGGGTGTTTGTTTTATGTACCTGTTTTCTTACACTGAACTTTCAACACTGTGCCAGGCTTGTACATTACCATGAAAAACAGATACCATTTAAATAAATGATGCACTTCCCATTACTTACAAAGAAAGCATAAGATTCAGGTTATTGATAAAACTACTCAAATTGTAAAAAACAAAACAAAACAACCAACAACAAAACCAACAAAAAAAAAAAAACAATGAAAAAAAAGCTTTGGCTATTAAAAATAATGTACATATATTAATAATAATGCCATGTCAGAATCCTGTAGCATTTCTAAAAGCTTTTCAGACACATTTAACACCACGCAGTACAAACACCGAGTGGATTTATACCCTTTGTAAGTGATGCTTCATTACATGACCAAACGCAAACACAGACATCCAAGTACATCACGTAACAGATGTTGTTAAATTGCAAAAAAAATATTAGCACTGTTTTTAATTACAGACTACTTGTAACAGCTTAAAACACTCTTCAACGGTGCAGGCAGAAGGCTGATGGTGAAAGAGCGTTATCAGGTAAGTGCACCACACATCTCCATAACTTTATGCAGTGTTGTTACGCCTCGAGGGCTTTTTTGGTATAGAAACATACAAACGTGAACCTGTAAGAATTTTACACAAAATATTCAAACAAAAATAAATTGCACAGATCCAAAAATTATAAATATCCCGGCTGTGTGCCAGAGTATACTGAGCAAGTGATTGGTAAATGTATGATTTGTGAATCAAAATTTACAGCATTATAAGTGCATTTTTTTTTCTTTTGAGGATCAAAGATATCATAATACTTACAATAAATCTACACAGTGCCAGTCAGACATCTGCTCATTTTCTCTACAGAGTCAATGCAGATGTTTCTGCGTGTTCCTCTTAACGTGACACACATTGTGATTCTCGGAGCTCTAACAGCAATGTCTTTTAGTGGCTTAAACAAAATGTGCCTCTCTGTGTTCCACCTCTGGAAGACGCCTGGGCCTTAGTCTCTGGTACACTGGTTTTGCCTGGTTTTGGTCCATTTCCTCAGGGCTACAGCTGGGAGACTGAGATATGGCTGTCTGTTCAATCTCAACGTCCTCCTCAAGGGGCTCATCTACAGACACCTCTATCTCAATGCCTATTTCCCCCTCCTCCTCCTCCTCCTCCTCTTCATCTTCTTCCTCAGCACTGTTAGCTTGTGCACAATTCTGCAGGACTTTAGCTTTGCTTCCCGATGGGGGCTTGTAGAAGGTTCCTGGGGGGGGCTGAAGGGTTCTGGGGGCTCTGAAAGTTGTTGCAATGGGGCTATACTTTGTGACATTATCTTCCCTTTTTATAGTCCTGTTGGGTCGCACTGCGACTGTGTAAGTAGTTCCAAGGGAGAGGGTTGATGGCACAGAGGTTGACAAGCCTTCCACTGCTGCACTCTCTGTGGATGAGCTGGCCCCAATTTTGACAGTTCTTGAGGAAACTTCATGTTTGTATTGTTTATCCCAAGTTCTGCGTAATGTCTGGGTGTCGATAAAGGTACTCCGGAAATGTGTGGCCGCTCTTGTTTTTGTATTCTCAGTCTCGTCCACTTCTTCGATGGACTGGTCGCAACCGCTTCCCTTCCTGTCATCTTGGTCGGTGGCGTTCCGGGAGTTGTTCTCGTCTATTTGGCTTCGGTTAAGTATCCGTTCGGCCGGCATGCTAAACGGCCGTGACGGTAGCTTGTTGCGAGGGTGTCGAAGCTGAACCCTGGTGACTGTGATATGATGAGAACGACACAGGCCTCTCTCCCCAGATTTTGCGACTTCAGGGACACTTGATGAAAAACTGAGGGTCTCTGAATCAGTTTCATCAGCTTTAAAAAGAGGACAAATAAAAACTTTTACGATAAAATAACAACATGATTGTTATTTTAATAATTATCTATTACTGTGACAATACTGACCTGGTTCAAAATCACTTCCATCAAGGCATGGCATCCTCTCCTGAACCTCAGTCAATAAGTGTGAAGAAGGAATTATAGACGAATGCCTTTTAAACACCTTTAAGCTCGACTGCAAGGCAAAGACAGACAGTAAGAACAGAAAACAACTCTCCACTCTACCACATGCTAAACAAGAAGAGTACTGTGTATAGTTTTTATACTTTATCACGCTATATAGATAACAGAATAGCTCTTTATTATCATTGTACATTTACAGCATCCTGTGTCATTCATGTATCGTAGTTACCTCTTTAATGTCTCCCAGTGACTTGGAGTGCCTGATCAGCTGCTGCTCTTTGTCCTGTTGCATAAGGCGAGTATTAGCGCGGGTCTGGGCATCAACCTCTGTGGGCGAGGTCCCACTTACAGGACTCAGAGGCGTGTCAAAGACCATCTGGTAATGTCTGATCAGGAGCTCCACAATGAGCGCCTGATAAGGGTAATCCACCAGAGAAGAAAGGGAAACTTCAGCATCGGCCTGCCTTGGCTTGATCAGCGTCGGGCCGAAGATGATACCCAGATTGCTGGCGGTCATCTTGTTCTCCTCTGATTGCTCCGTCACCCTGGAAGGAGAATAAAACAGATAAGAAATGATCATTCCTACTATTATTAAAAGAAAGGAGAAACACATCCATATGTTGTATGTAATGGGATGCCCAGAAATCCATTCAGCCCTCCCTACCGGTGAAGATGCTCTACGAGGAACTGCAGCGTCTTGTAATTAGCTGGTGGCAGCTGTCTTAGCAGATCCTTGATCTTGAACAGGACTCGATTGAGCTCGACGCTAACCTGCGAAGGGGTCGCAGTGGTGGGATTAACTCTCTGTGCTTCCAGTTCCTCCACAATGATACTCTGGCTCTCCTTGGCCAAACCAATAAAGTCATTATAATAGCGGAAGAGGATGAGTGGCTCTGGAAGCTGGAAAGTACGGAGGAAGAATCAGATAAACAAATGAAACAAAGATGATAATAAACAGCGGCAACCAAAATATGGACATAAATACACAAGTGGTACAGAATTAGAAATGAGATAAGCACCCTGGTGATAAGCAGCAGGAATTATGCGCCAAAAATAAACAGACAAATGCACATTTTTAGTATTAATGCAGTTTGTCATCCAAAGCCTACTTTAGCCAGGATGAAAGCTGAAATACCTCATTATGACCAAAAGCAACCCACCTGTCTCAGGTAGAGTTTGAGTACATTGCTAATGTCGTGGGGAGAAAGATCGGAAAGCTCCACCAGGTCCTTGCCGTTCTCAAATGCCTGGCACAGCTTCTCTACTCGAGACTTTGCACCATTCACACGGTAGATCCCCTTCAGAGCACACAAAATGCAATCAGCGCATGAAAATTACACACAAGTTTTTGGAATCAATATGAAGAAACTGGGCAAACATATGAGCAGAATACTAACAAGATCAGCCAACGAAAAAAATGGGAGAACACTTCATTCTTATTTAAAAAGGGGTTTGGTCTTGTTTGATAAAATGTAACGGAAACAGAAACCAATAATTATCAAATAATTTAAAAAGCATAACAAATATTGAAGGTGAAGCGGAGGACTCGTTTTTCTCATTTCACTTTCACTCTGTAAAAGACTGCATGAACAAATAGCTTTGAAAGAAGTCTCTCAAATAATTTTATCACATACAGTGTGTTAGCAGTGCCAATAAAGATCCAGAGAAGCCAGAGAAATCTGTGTACACACAACAAAACGCAAAAAAAACAAAAAGTGTCCATGACCTTTGGGCATTCAGGCTGCACAGCATTAAGAACAACTGATGGAAATCACTATGAAAAACCAAAAGCTTTCATCACTAAATCCACAAAAACTATTTTTTTGCCAACATAGTTTTAGAAAAACATATTTTTGCATATGTCGCTAATACACTCATGTTTTACATATTAGATAAATTCCCTCAACACATGTTGATTAGTCCTGACAACAATGACAGCCTTTCACAGCGCACCCACTTTTATGGTCACAGTATTGGATGCTTTATAAGTGAACTTTAATGGCAGTGCCATCAGATCTATGCTACAGTTTTGGGTTTTTGTTTCATGAAAATTAATGATCAATTTATTTGTAACCAAACCACTAAAACACCTATTATAAGTACCTTGATGCTGAGGGCTCTATTCTCAATTTCCGACGTGCACTTCCGTATGATGAATGGGATACCATCCTGGCTGTTCTTAGCCGACTGTGTGAAGTCAATGCCAAACAGGTGAAGCCTTCCCTGGAGCTTCTTGTGGCCACACTGGATAGCCAGGGTTTCCAGACACTTTTTATGGCACGCCAAGGAGCACTGCAAACACAGTGACACATACCTCAGTTATAACAGGGACAGAGCAAAACATTTCTAAGAAAATCCTGAACAGTTTTAACTATATGTCAACAAAAACAGTGGAACAACTGACGAAAAAACACGTCCTCACAACGTAGCTATTTTTGTTAATTAGCCCAAAAACCAAGTCCAAGAAGCAAACGAGGAACGCTTCACATCTAGTGACCCTCTGAACCACTCACACTGAATCATTCCAAGACTCCGCAGTGAGCTGCATTCCTATGTCAGTTCTTCTCAATATGTCTATTGCGTTGCATAACCTCTTTTAAAAGCATTTCTCCAACTGAGAGCCGCTCTTATTGTCTTCTTCAGTGTATCTAATACATATGGACAGAAACTTGATCTAAAATCAACAGTGGACAGAGGGTGCACAGGGATGATGGAAAGGACTCCTCAGAAGACGAACAAAAGGTCCTCAGTTTCTAGCGCCCATTCCCCCAACTGAGACCAGTTAGTGAATTTGGTCACAGAGGAGAGCTTGCAGCCAGTTTCAACTTTTCCCTTTATTTCCTCATCCAAACATGCTGATGAGGGGAGAGGTGGCTTTTCTCTTTTGTTTCTGCTTGATTTTTTTGCTGGCCATGAGTGATAAAGAAGCTCTTGTGAGCCTCTGGCAATCTTTATCGTGAATTTGTAATACTCTGAATGCTGTGGGCCGCAAACAGAAAGGAATAATACAAATAATAAAAGAAAGGAATCCAAGGTTACCTCCTCACACTCCGCTCCATGAAACACCACCAGGCTGTCACACTCACGACACTTGGAAGGTGCTCGAAGCTTTCTGAGCTTGTGGGTTTGGGCCGCCTTAGACATCTGAGTGTTTCTAAAGGGTCCTGGAGAGCTCGCCGTTTCGATTACCATTTCATTTAAACCTGCAGTGGCAAAGGAGCATTGTTACAAATGTAAATATGTGGCCTATAAGTGTAAGGAACATATAAGAGTACCTTAAAAAAAAAGGAAAAAATAAACACGAAACCCTTATACGAATACAACTGACTTACCATTATCAGATGGCGAGGGAGGCTCTCTCTCATCCAAGTCATCAGCAGACGACATGGTACCAGTGGAGGGGGTTCTGGGTAATCTCCTCTTGAAGTCTCCTGAACAGTAAGGTAGGACACACCAAAAAGTCCACATCTTTACAGTCACGTCAGGACACTGTTTCCCCCCCTGTCTCCTATGCTCTACATCTCAGCAGTAAAACTGAGAAGCAATACAGCGATTTGACGAATTTAAAGTAGCAAATGAAAAGGCGGGCTTAACTGAAACCAGCATGTTATTGTTGGTGGTGAATTAACACCTGGATTGGCTGATGAGTGAGGGGGTTGAATATTGATCAAAGCCTTTTCAGAATGTTTTTGATCTTCTGATGAGCTCAATAACAGGTTAATCAGAGATAAGTGCTGACATTGTTCACACTCTGGGGGCTGGGAGAGCTTTGTGGCAGACTCCAATACACAATTTAACACCGTGCACCAACACCCAACTAACTTTCTCCAGTCAAGACCCGCCCAAAACAACAAGCCATGTCTTACACACAGGTTTGGTAAAATCAATTTAACAGGAAATTGTTTTATGTTCTCCAAGGTTACTACAAACCAAACCTAAATTTGTCACTGTAACATATAAAATGGACATAGTGCTATTTAAAGTTTTCAATGTAAAGTCCATGACAGGAACACATAAAATAACAGCAATTATAGTTACGTTCTTCTTTGCAATGGCTTTTTGCATTCTGATTATAGTAGCACCGAAAGCTCAGAGCGCTGCATTTTAAGAAAGTGCGTGCAAATGGGCAAAACAAACCAACACGGGAAAACATCTTAGCATTAAAAAAAGAACAAAAAAGTAGGCCCAGTGCAAAAGTATGGAAAACAAAAGATGCCACCAAGAACAGAAGGGTGGTGCAAAAAAAAGCCCCCGCAAAAAAACAGCAACAACAAAAAACAAGAACTACAACAACAAACTACAGGAAACTGTAGCGCAAAACACACATGTTGTTGCACAGCAATCAGGGAGCACAGGGAAACCGTTGCAACATTCTTATGTGTGTGCGTACGTTGCAGAGTGCAACAAAGAGGCATGACTGCCTCTTTACTCTGAGATTACACACCAACAAACCTGGGTGAACATCAAGTTCGCTAGGAGAAAAAAAAGAGATGCGTGCTGCCCTGAGGTGCTCTCAAGACAGTCAGTCCAGAAAAATGTGCCATCACTGGCTATGGGTGGTGCTTTTAACCGTGATGAAAGACTGACACAAATGAGTTTGATGTTGTGCAACTGTTGAGGGAAAACCCAGCGTGCTGCCTTTATTATCGGGACAAAAAAACATACCGACAGGAAGTGAATGTGATTTTCTTTCTTTCTTTTTTGATAGCTCAAGTGTGACGGCATGCAAAGATTTACCCAGCAGATAGACACAGCATTTGTACTTGTTAGCTAAATAGCTATTGAGTGCGGTGTCGCACTAAATCAGTTCTGCTAGTGATCATTTTAGGGGGACTTCACAATCTTCACAATCCTACCTGGGCTTGCAGTCGGCGAGTCCATGGACCGGGACTCACTGCTCCCTCCAGCACTTTCCGAATCACTGCACATCCCTCCACCCTGATTGGCCGAGGTCCAGGGACGAAATGGCGCCTGAATTTTAAGTGCTTGTTCAAAAAAACAACATTAAAAGATAAGAAGTCCCATGTTAGCTGCATGCTATAAAACTGATCATAAAGTCAGTTGAAGAACATGTTTCCAATTATGTTACAAACACTTAAAGGCGGGCCTAAAGGTAATGAGGCCAACACCTGCACACATTACCAAAAACAAAACAAACCACAGGGAAGTTGGCTCCAGTTTAAATCTTCAACCTGGTTACCCAACCATCATATTTCAAAATGTTTGGCATTTTGACAAATGCCAAGCAAACAATGCCAATGTTTGCCAATGTTTTGCTTGGCATTGAGCAAACTGTTGTGTACCTCCCTCAGCAACAATGTAGTCGAGTGCAAAACTATCTCTTGTGCTAGTTTCCATCTTTGTTGTGCAGGTATTTACTCAGTGAGATTAGTAAGCTGTGTAAAAGTTTTTGTACTTTCTCTCAGGATGTCATGATTTGACCCCGTTTCTGTTGATTGCATTTATAGAAGAAATAGTGAAAATACTAAACGTGTACCTTGGATGTCAGTGCTACCGTTGGACCGTCTTTCAGCAATCTTGGGGTGTTGGGCATTGATGGGGCTGTCCACATCATCTCCAACAAGGAGGTCAGAGGTCACAGATGCCTGTGACAGGTTACTGTGGGAGGAGTGGCTGCCACTTAGTGAGCGCTTATTGAAAGGCATCCTAGGGTGGAAAAAGACATCAATTTGCATTATTTACTTAAAAATCACAATGAAATATCTTAGTTATTTAAAACTGTTATATGTACAGTTGTTTACATTGATCTAATTAATAATATGCAGATCAAAGTATCCCCCCATCAGGGACTATTACACCACAACATTATTTATCCCCAGAATAGGGAAAGTTCACAAAGAGCAAAGCTTTCAGCTTTCTGGCTGCCAAATGCTGTTAGTCCCCATACAAAGTATGAATATCTAATACCTACAATATTGTATTTGAGGATTTCTGTCTAGCAGTAAGACCACTGACTTCAAGACAATTTTAAGCTCAGTCAACATCCACATTTCCTCCTCTGCTGACGGAACAAATTTCCACTTACAACTGTAAATCTCATCAATTTTGATACGATCCACGAATGATCAGCCAATCAAAGACAGCAGATAATTAGAGCATAATGACAACTAACTGACACAGATAAGCTTGGGAATGGCAAAAGCTACATGTGATGCCATCCATTGTTAGGCTAAGTATCCAGCTGCATCTAACAATATACAATAAGTAGGTCACGGGTCTATATTTAACCTTTTGGTGGCCGCTGCACTGGGTGCATGTGAGAGCATACGAGTGCTGGTGTGTGGGCCTAAGTTTCATTTCCTCTTTCCCAAGCTGAATTCTTTTGATCAGAGGGATCAGAGGTGGGTGTGGTGGAGGCAGGAGAGCGGGGGTCGTGGAGGGAGAAAACTAAGTGAGAACAAAGCACACTGTTATTTCCATCTGTCTGGTATTTGTGTGTGTGACCCAAAACCCGCGTCAACAAAACTCTCTCAAAAGGGAAAGCGTCTATTTTTAACCATAGCCTTCTAAAGAAGCCGATACTACATTTGCCTAATTAGGAAGTGACCAATGTGTGTGTCATCTCGGTCAATCAGACTTTGTGTGTACGAGAGTTTAATGGTGCTGAAAATCTTCAAAGAGCAATGTTTCCCCTTATGTGAGTAATGTGCAGCAGTGACCCCTAGAGAAATTAGGCCAGCCATAAATGACTGCCAAATGTAGAGACAGTGGCACAGCTCAAAATAAGAAATAAGAAAAAGTGGGAATAAACTAATTCATCTTTTAATTTTGTTGTTTTCTTGCTGTGGTTTCTTACAGTGGGCTAGCCTCCACCCCAAAACTAATGCTAGGGGAAACCCTGACGGGGTTTAGTAAACTGATGGTAAGCCCACTGGCCCAGCTCCTTTCTCCCGTGACCACAGTAATTTCCGCAGGAAGCCCCGGCCAGCGCGATGTCACGACTGTTTCAGATTTTCCAAAGCAAGCTCTGTGACTCTGGAACTCCACCTATCACCGCTAAAGTATGTGCAGTCTCAGACAGTAATAGCTACAGTACTATATTCACTTAAATTTACAGTTCCAACAGTGAAGCTTTGAGGTGTTGAAGTAATTGTTTGTCAACACAAAACGTAGAGACAAAAGCATTCAATTCAAATCACATAGCTCCAGGAAAACATGGTTAATATAAACAGAAGTGGTCCCAGCACAGAACCCTGCAGAACTCCATTGCATGCATCCTACTAAAAATACGACATACCTTCTAAACGATGCTGAAATTAAAATCTTCAAATAAATAAATCCCCCCCCCCCTCCTCAATAACAAGTAAAAACCTTTAGGTAGGTAAACTAAGGTAAGGTAATTTGATTACCTTAAAAACACATCACATTTCAATTTAATTCAAATGTTCAAATAGCTGAACTAAATTTAAATACCTGTTTAAAATGACAAGCTCTGACCACATTCACACAGCAAATAAGAGGAAGGGACATCTCACCCTGTGTTTTGTGTGACAGGTGAATCCAACGAGTGACACTCGAGTCGAGGCGCATCCGTAGGTAAACTCCTGACAAAGTCGATGTAACGCTGGCCAGGCTCGTACAGCTTGGCATTTTCACACAGAGTCTGGTGGTTGACAGGTAGAGACACAACCTGGGCCTGCTGAAGCTGGAACCAGTTGACGGTCACCTGAAACAGGGACACATTCCAGTGAATGACGATTCAGCAACTTTGAGCCAGTGTTAACTTATCAGTCGAGGTGTGCATTATTTCTACCACTCAGCCTGGTTTCAGTTTAAATGAACATGTCTTTAAAAACTTAACGTGTTTCAACTTACGGCCTTGAGGGTGAGGTCACACTGGGAGACCATCTCTCGGATCTGAGTGATAATCTCATTCTTGGTGTTGACCAGCTCGACTCTCTTCACCCCGACATCAACCTGACAAGCTTTGCAGTGATCTTTGGCCTCCTCGGCCTGCCAACAGAAAGAATACAAATCACTGAAATTTTCAATTAAAGTGATGGATTCAAATCTGGGGGAAAAAATAGGAAATAAGAACTTTAATGACTAAAAGCTGATCTTCATGTTGCAAATAGAGACTAATCATTTGTTCTCGAATGGCAACTGAAGGCTTTATAATCACAAGAAACAAATTCACTGATATCTAAAATGGATAGATTAGACTATTAGAGGTGATGCTCTACCTTCTGCAGCGCCTCCTCCTCGAGCCTACGCCTTTTTTCTAGCTGTTTTGCCGCTGCCGCTCCCCCTCCCCCTCCAGTCTGCTCCTCCTCCAGCCGACTAGTCGACACCTTGGCCTTCTCGTATTCATCCTGTCGCTGGGTCTGCAGGAGCCGGGCCTTCCTCAGAGCCGTGTCTGCTTCGTGCTGATGTACACATATTAGTTTGAGTCACACACAGATTCATGCAGTGCACAACGCGAATGCAACCACAGAAAAAGATGGCTTTTAAGTTTTTGATAACACGCAATAATTGCTATAAAGATACAATTCACAAACAGATTTGCAGAGATAATTCATGTTCAGTAACATTTCTATTATGGTGTCCAACTACAGAGTTTAGGACTTTGACTATTTCTTAGACTTAGTCACTGGATTAGTGTCTCTCAATCCGTCATACGTGCAACAGAGCACTTGTCTTGGCAGGTTAAAAACAAACTATTTGTCTGGATTTGTATATCGGGCTGAATCACTTCAAGAGCATTCTTGGGCTGAGACCCCAGGTCAATGAAGCTTTTGATCCAGTGTGCATTTGTGTGTGGTCCCCTTAAAAGTGCAACCTCCGTGACTGTCAACTCACCATTTTCTTTTGCTCTCTCTGCCACTGCTCCTTGACCTCTTTTCGCAGTTTGTCCAGCTCATTTTTTCTGGCCAGGAGAGGCTGGAAAGAAACACAGAAAATCCACACCACACCCACAAAAGCAGTAAGACCACTTGTTTCCACCATACAACCCAAGATAAAGTTAGATTTCATGAATGCAGCAGTTACCTGCATGAATTTGTTGCTTTGGAGTATTGCTGCAGTTTGAAGAATCAGCTGGCTATACTCGATGTCATTTTTGAAAGCTGTCATGTAGATCTCACGGAAAGGCATGAATTCCTTGAACGAGGCAGAAGAGGTTTAAATCTCAGTCCCTAACATGCGTGAGATGCACACGATGCCGATGTAAGTCAAGTCAACTGCAGCGTCAACTTACCTGTTGACTAGCAAGCGTCTTAGCAGTCTCAGCCATCTTGGCGTAACTTTTTGCACACTCAATATCTGCAAAAGGACAACAAGATTCAAACAGGTTCAAATAGATTAAACAAACATTACAACACAACGTCCTTTCTGCTGGTTCAGAAATTTATATTTTATTTAAGTATCTTTCATTTTGAATGAATAATTGGATCTCAAACAAATGTTTTAAGTCATTAATGCTTTCCAAATCAACAGCACATTGTCCTTAATTCTGATAAAAGATAAATCAGTAAAAAAAAAAAAAAGTGTTTGCAGTGTGTTTAAGAAAAGGAGCTGATAATATGGACTGTACAGCTTGACTGAGCGTTCTGTGTCACAGGATAAGTGAAACCATTCATTAACCAATCTACCAAACAAAAGTTTGCACACTACAAACTCAACCTTGAGCATGAACAAGACTTCATTGTTTTACGTCCAGCTCAGGTGATCAACATGGTTTCCGTGGGAACTAGCCTTTAATGAATCACTACACTGTCCACTCACTAAAATGATGTGTTTAGCTAGAAAACACAGTTATCATTGACATTTCCCAGTGATCTTGTAATAGAGCTACTTTTAAGATCAAGTGGACAAATTAACTACTAAGATGGCTGAGACTCCATTAGTGTAGCTTTGCATGATTCAAGTTCATATTCATTAATGCTGAAAATTATTATTCATCATATAATGTCCCTTTTGAAGCCCCTCGGCTCATCTACCGTCCAAAACAAGACGTTTTAGTTCCCATCGTCATAAAAAGCCAATGAAAGGATCTCGTATGGCAACTAAAGAGTCAAGCACATGACCGTGGTCCAAGACACCAACCCATGACATCATTTTGGATTCTCATGAGCTACTTAGGCGTTACTTAGTGACTTACTACTTAGCTGCTGCCTCCTAACAGTGCTTCAGAATTGGTCTTGTGAATCCACCAGTGTCATAACTCACCCATATTGAGACGCTTCTCCACCCATGCCAGCAGCTCTTTGGTATACTTGGACCACGCCTTGGCGTAGGCCAGTGCTGACTCCACTCCGCTGTCCTGCCGCTGCAGTGTCCTGTCCACCTCTTCGGCCCGAACCGGTGGAGAAGACTCTTTGATGAGCACACGAAAATAAATAAATAAATAAATAAAAATAAATCACATGAGGAAGCGTGTGCAACATGATCCCCACTAACCAACCAACACACATTGAACATGGCTCGATGGAGTAGGTGCATGTTTAGCAACATCTATGACTGTGAGTCAGCAGGAAAAAGCCCATGCTGACCTTGAGTTAGCAACATGCGGGCTAATGCGGCTAAGATGTGGGAGCAGGGACAGCTCAGTAGGTAGAGTGTTTGGCCCCATGATCAGAAGGTGGGGGTTCGAATCCAACGAACGGCTACCCTGAGGTACCCCTGAGCAAGGTACCGTCTCTACACACTGAAAAAGCCCATGCCCATCGGTTAAATGCAGAGAAGAATTTCCCCACAGGGATCAATAAAGCATACAATATTAATGCCATTTGAAGGGAAGCAATGATGACAGGAGAATGACCACATGCATTAATACCAGAAAAAGGTGACTGGACATAACTGCAAATAACCCCACAGACACAGATATGCCAGGGAGAGGACAAAAAACAGAATCAATCTCTCCCCACTCCTGAAACTTCCACACTGGAGAACAGTACAGTACAGTAGCTGTGTGTCAGTGATCTGCCTTACCTGGCGGATCATCTTTCTCAAGACCGGATCCTCCAGATTCCACAGAGAGGTTCTCAAAAGACTGAAAAACAAACCCAAAAAAGTGTTTTTGAATAAATAAATATGAGACATAGGGGAGGTGCACGAAGGGTGAACTTCCTTGTCAAAGCAGAGTACGCTCGGCTAAAACGCTTAAAAAAGGCTTATCAGAAACTTGGCTTCCTCCTTACATCAGTTACAAAACCTGCAGTGGGAAAACAACAAAGCATGACATCAATTCATCATTTGAAGAGGCCATTTCAGAATCATGCTGCAACCTGCAGGTATGTTGCTTCACCCCTGATCTCTGCTGGGCAACTTTTCATATCTTATTTTTGACAATTCAGGGCCAGAAGCCAACATCGTCCATGAACTGATGATGAATGTATGTTTAATAATGGAGCCCATATTCTAAAGTACGAGTTTCATTTTAAATCTTAAATGCAGTTCTGGAGGATGTTTATCAGGAAATTAAAGCCTCACTTTTAAATATTGCACTTCTCTTACCCTGCTTCTCTTAGTCAGGGGGAGCCCCAACACTGATCCATTCTCTACATCTCCCATAAGGAAGTCAGACACTCTGAAGAAAAACAAAACAAAATAAAAGAAAGGTTCAGTAAAGAATGAAAAGCACAAAAGGAAATACACACAAAAACACGACTTAAATTATGTTCGGGGGGTTTATTTAGCATAAACAGTGTTTTTATCTGCACTCACAAAAAAGAACTGCTTTTATTTTTCCTTAGCTCTTATTCTCTCTTTTCACACAAGATTAATAAATATCGGCTGACCTCCATTAGCTGCGTGCATATGCTAACTAATAGAACGCAGTAACAAACATCATCGAGTGAAATGAGCCGTGGAAGGAGCAATCAGAGTAATGACATCATACTCACACATTGCCAAAGGTGAATGCCAATGTGTCAATTGCGGCGTAGATCTCTCCGAAATGCTTATGTTTGTTGTCTTCGTTCACCTCCTTAAAGTTCACTCCTGTAAAATGATGGTGAAGTAAGACTGAGTCAACTTTCTGTAACAACCCCAAATCCTGCATACTGAAGACATCCTGTGTTTAAGGCAACAATCACAAGATATGATTCATCATCCTGTGCATGACGTTAACAACAGAGTGAATGAAAATCTCTTCTGACTCAGACTGTACTCCTCAAAAGCTCTGAGAGCTAGAGGACTGTTTGTGTGTAGACCTTTTAGAATTGAGCAATCCCTCAGAGGCATCCAAAAACAACTTTATGTTAAATCAGTGAAGATAAGCAAAGACCGTGAGTGTGTATATTTGGCTGTAATCTGCTCTTGCAGTAGTTTCCTGCTGAAAATCTAAACACAGTGATGACTGAGGACAGAATGGAGGAAAAGCACCAGTGTAAATACGGCTGTAATCAGTCTTCACAATAAACTTCCTGGCCGGACTGAGCAGAGGGAAAATAAACCAGGAGAGAGATGCTCAGAAATGAGACCCAGCAATAAATCAGTGATGTCACTGCTCATTCAGTCTTTCCTTTCCAATAGAACAATGGAGATTTCTAGAGTTCAATGACTTTCAGACATTTTAAATAGAAAACTAACAGAGTTCACTTGTTTTTTATTAGCTAAGCTCAAAACCTACTTCAATGTCTTGACTTCTGAACATTAATCCCAAGATGGGACAACTTCAGAATTTCTTGAACTTTAATAACTTCTCAAATCCTGAAACAAAACTAGCCTAAACTTCATCCACACCTAGAGTCCTAGATCTTCCACCTGGTCTCTTAGTATCTGTTTCACATAATGCAAACCACCTACAAACGCCTACTATAGACCTTCCCAGTCTTCTGAACTGCTATTACATATTGCCTCGTACCTCAAAATGTTTTCAGAAGGTGTTGCTAAAGAAGCACACAAGTGAACCAGCAATTACCTACCTCAAAACAGGTTTCTTTCCCGCCTCGTCCTTAACAGATATAAGCCTTGTTGATCATGGAAATCAACACCTACTTAAGACTCCTTAGAAGAAGCCTTAAACATGAAACCAAAATACTTGCAAATCTTTAGCTGGTCCAAGAAAAGGATTCCTTTGACCAACACAAGGAAAGACTGACCACTGAAAATAAATAAAATAAATCCAATGGGGGGAAAGAAAAAGTCTTCAAATTAAATTTAAAAACTGATTTTAACGGGGTGTCTCCAAGACACCCCCAGCAGTTACCACCATTCAAATCATACAGCTCTGCTTTCGCATCTCCTCTCCCGCACAGCCCCTACCCCCCAACAGGACATCCTGAGGCTTGCTGGAATACAATGCCAGTACTCGCTCAGGCCCCAACCAGTGGTCCAAATGTGGAAGTTACATCATCAGAGAAAAATGGTATTGTTTCACTCGAAAAGCACAACACTCTCGAAACACTCATCAGTAGCAGAGTCCTGTGCTGCAATTAAGGGATCGGAAGCTCCAACAGAGAGTAATTGAAGACGTACTGAGGTATGCCAAGGAAACAGAGTATCACAGGGTGGGAGGTTCAATTTTTCACCAAAACAACTCTTTGACGTAGGGTCAGGGTGCACTTCAAGTAGAAATCCAAAACAAATTGCTAGTTTTGCCTCATATGTACAGCAAACCTTTACGTTATTGTGTAAAATATCAGGCTTGGTGGCTCAAAAACAATGGAGCAAAGCTGATAACACACTGGCACCGTCTACATCTCTCTTTTTTGGGGGGGGTGGGGTATCAAGAAGTGGACAGTTCTGGCCACCTAGTGGTAGAAAGATGTTACAGCACTTCATATAGTTATGGAAAGAACAAGTAATTACTGTGTTATAATATCTACTATTCACTATAGGAACTTCCTCTGAAATAACAAAAATAATACCATTACTCAGAATTATTTAAAAAAAAAGTTTGTCTAACAGCTGAAGACTTTCAATCTATATACTTATGAATCCTTCTAATGATGAATGCAATATAATCACGAGCATTAATAACAATGTTTTTACAGAATGACTGTTAAGCTCTCAAATCCAAGCCTTCCTCATTGATAAAGTGCTGCTTTTTTGTCTCGCTTGTGTAAAGACATGTTCCAGTGCCACATAAACACTCAAGTTACTGCATGAAAGACAGGACTTGCAAGCGCTTATTTTTTTGTGGCACATATATGCACACGCCCAAATGTGTATGGACTCATTCCAAGTATTTCAGCTAAAGGTGAAGCCCATTCACATTCACATGCACATGCAGAGCCTCCTCAGGCCTCTCCATCATGTCACCATTCCTTAGAAGTAAAAGCTTTTTATGCAGCCCCTCTCTGCCCCTCTTTGCAATGCAAATTGAGACGAGGTATACTCTAGGGATTCTTGTGTGGCCGCCAAGTTAAGAACTGACCTGCATGCCAGATCATAATCTTAAAGAATGAGCGAGTGAAAAGGATTCCTCTGTGCAGTTCCCACTGGACTGGCAGACAAAGCACAAAGGACACCCGCTTCTCCCTGCATCTTCAAGTATCAGGTACCTGACTCCCAAATATTATTTTCTTCGTCTCTATATGGGGTTTGAAACACACGCTGCTGCATTCAAAGCGCTCGAGTGACTTCTGAAGAACTGTGTCACCTTGAAGCTAAAACACAACTCCAGAGAAACAATCTCTGGGAAGTTCTTTAAACCAGGATTGGGAAGACTGTATGAGAGACAGGACGTGGTAATAGTGAATGCCCAGCAGAGAAGACTATCAAGGGAGAAGGGAGGATTAGATAAGCAGAGACAGAAAACAGACTAAAGGAAGAGTGGAGGAGTATCTGGCATGTTTTACAGGAAAGCCGAAAGTTATGAGGGTGAGCATTTAGGGGGAGCTGGTCATCTTTGCTCACCTTTGACCGTGGCGATGACGGTTCCAGCTGTACTGAGGATATCCACTGAGTTGAGGCTCTGGTGTTTGCTGATAATGGCCTTCAGGACTCGTAGCAGCTCACCGAGACGTTCGTGGACCGCGTGGTGAAGACAGTCTTGGTGCTCTGGAGATTGTCAAGACAGTTAAATAATGCTTATTGCACACATTTTCCACCCAGTCAGAAAGATATGCTCACATTTAGTCCAGACTGATGAGAAAAGGAATCCCTTAGCCCAGGGGTGGGCAATTCCAGGCCCCGAGGGCCGGTGTCCCTGCAGGTTTTAGATGTGTCCTTGAACCAACACAGCTGATTTAAATGGCTAAATTAGCTCCTCAACATGTCCTGAAGTTCTCCAGAGGCCTGGTAACGAACTAATCATGTGATTCAGGTGTGTTGACCCAAGGTGAGATCTAAAACCTACAGGACACCGGCCCTCGGGGCCTGGAATTGCCCACCCCTGCCTTAGCCGTGTCAGTATGCCACATTTTTGAAATATTAAGTAGGAAAATTTTCAATTTGAAACTATATATAGCTTTGGTATTGTACTTAAGGATCATTTATTCACTTTTTAAACAAATCCCTTAATAAATCAGTAATAATCTCTGCACATTTTAAAGCTGGAGAACTCAGATTCGAGATTTATAGAAATATATGGAACGAATTTGAGAAAGGGCAATTATATTGAACATTTTGTCAATAACTAACATGTGATATATGCAATCAACCATTTCAATTGACAGAACTGACATATTATACAGCCAGTGGATTATCCATTAGCCTTGTTAACCTTTCACCAGTAAGAAAAGAGATCATTGGCAGTGTTGCTCCGTCTCAATGATGACAGGTCATATGCTACATGATACTGTAGAAGCTGGAAAATTACAGGTTTCCAAGGTGCCATTTTATGCTATGAACTGTGTCTGCAGGCCCACTGTGTTTCCAAACAGAAGTGTATCAAACAAAATGGTATCACGTTTTATAAACCCTGAACAGATTAGTCCTAGGACCCACCAATTTACATACTGGTGACAAGATAACTATGTGCCGCCATTCCAGGTTTGAGTTCTCCTAGTAGCCTGTCCTGGCGACCGCACCATAAAGTGGAGGACGGCAGAAACGCAACACACGAACCCAACTGCTATGCGCATAAATAAACAAGACCTACTATGGTCTTTTAGCAATCATCAGCCATCCAGCGAGCGAACCAAAGAAAACACGGCATCTCAGGTATGTGGTTCTCTGTACTGCACGTGACTTTACAAACAGTGAGTCACAGCCATTAACAAGGGGACAAAATGCACTCTGTTATCATCTAACCTTGAAAACGTGCTCTCGGCTTAGTCAGAGTGAGATCATGAATAGCGCAATGCATTAACTAAGGTAGTTAAGGCTGAGGTTTTTTTTGCTACTTATTGGTAACATACAGTGGAGTGTGACCAGACTGCTGACACAACATGCATGGGTGGCTTTCTTAGAAATAACCAGTACAAGAGGGTAGGCACATCTCCCTCTGTTCCCTCACTCATGCAAACACAATATACACACATACTCACATAATTACACTTGTGATCTAGATATGCTGAGTCCTAAACTATAATCACACTAAATACACAGGAGGCTGTTTGGGAGGTTGTTTTGATTTCATGTTTTAAATGTCATATGACTTCACTTTAATAGTTGTTTCCAGGTCACATATCTTTGCAGCCAATAACAGGTTAAACGAAAACACACACACAAACAAACATAGACACACACACACACACACACACAAAAGACACAGTCGGTCAAAGCCGCATTTTGTGCTGACGATCACCCCTGGATTACCCTTCATGGAAATGGGGATCAGGAAGACTTTAGCTGTCTCCCGTTTTTTCTTTTATTCGTTAGCTCTCTCTTTTGGAGTGGGACAAATAGTTCCGCCAGTGGGGCTAATAATGCTAGGTCTTTGTGGCCACCGTGACAATACTAGCTGAGGCCTGAAATGTAAATCCAGCCGACTGACCAGTCTGTAACAACCTCACAGTGATCAACAGTTCAGGTAAAACATTTTGAACAGAACAGCTCTGACATGTAAAATGTCTATATATTCTGCTGCTTTACTGGGAACTTTATGTCCAGCCGACTAGACTGTTGAGAAATATCATCAACAAGCGGCAACTCAAACCAATTAACCAGCAAAAGATTGCCTAAAATGTGTGGAAATAACTAAATAAGCAACTCATTACCAAAAACTACTTCATGAGGGGAGAAGCTCAATCACAACACTGTTTCACTACCACAGTGAGATGGTAGTCCATGCCAACATGCTTGCTCCTTCTATTTTGCCAAAAGCTTCTCCACAGGACCTGGAATCCCATCTTTATCCATAGCAACCATCTTCATCAATCATCAGATGCCATGTGCAGCTCCTTCCAGTGCCGAAGACCTGGTGGGTTTTGAGGGCATAAGCCTCTAGTCTTTTTGTTTCAGCTGCCCAGCTCCACACGAGGCAGCAAAAGGAGCCAGTGGTGAACTTCTGGCACAACCAGACATCATAATAAGACTTAGTTCTGCTGTACAAAACTTGACAAACGTTGTTTTGTAATGGTCCAGCAACTACTCTGTTATTTTTTACTGTTATTTTAGTATTTTTGAATGTAGATTTTTGCCATTTTTATCCCTGGTGCTAGGGTTTTCCCACAACCTCTTTCTGTCACTATCTTATATGATAAGGGTCAACGTTTACAACAAGCTGCTTCAACCCTTGAGCCCTTAATGGGTCCTGGTCAGTTTAGATCCCATTTATGGACATTATCCTTTGAAAGACAACATACACACAATGGACTAAATCATCCCCACAGAGGCAAGATACCCTATTCATCTACCAAGTAACTGGATACCGAATCCTGAAAGCATCAAGCTTGGGGAGCCTAAAGGTTTATTAAGGACAAGCCTAAAATCATGAATGCCCACAAGACAGAGGGTCTTCCTTTGCAAAGCTCCATGGGCTTCAATCGTCAATGGCGGCTGTGTGGCCTATTGGAAAAACCTAAATAGAGGCTAATTAGCAAGACATTATGGCTGCATCCACCAGCCCAGCATGACACAGGATAATGTACAGAGACTGATTATTTAACCCCTAAACTGCCTTTCTGGCTGGGACACAAAGAAAGAACTGGTTCCCACTGCAGAGTGCCTTTAAAAAAAACATAATGGCAGAGGTATTGACAGTGCAGCGATGGAAGACGTTTCAATTTGCAAATAGTTGAAGGATTTCTGAACACAGGCAAAAAAATAAACACGCCTCTGGGAAGATCATTCTGTTTTCCCCTGGGAAATGGACTCTGGAGTGAGAACTTGTTTGAGTACCAAAAATTCCCCATTGTCCCTGGGGCAAATGGCAAACAAGTGGGACTGGTCACCTCATGGGCCTGCTACATGAAGCATTTATGGAACATAAATCACAACAAAGGCTTTCCACAGGAAAGAAGGAGAGGAGTTTGTGCTTATCTTTGTCCAAGTGTGACAGTTAGCAGAGGAAAGATTGTAAGGAGTAGTAGGGGAGGAGTTTTAGTTTGATGGGAGCCAGAAAAAAAAAAAAGGGGGGGGGGGTTGTGTGTTATTTGGGGTAGTACTCTTACTGGGGATTTGTCCACAATTTACCCCAGCACCCCACATCCCTGCTTCAGAGGGGGTTATGAGGGAGGGAGTGAGTGAGAGACATTCCTGGGCATAATAAGCCCTGGTGAATGAAGGCTGCAGAGGGATCAGACTCTGATCCTGATGAGAAGGAGGCCGCAGATCAGGAGCTGCTCAGAGGCTGCCAGCAACGCATTGCCAGGTTTTTACTTCATTAGCGTCATGGAAACCCAACATTCCAGCCTCTTGTTTGGGAGCGCGGACGGGAGTTGCGGGAGTGAGGAGTGGAGGGGGATCCATAATGAAAACATTGTCAGATCGCTCACCACTGAGATGACACGTCAACACCAAAACACTGTGGAGCAGATGCTCTCTTGACACCTTCACGTGATGGACTTCAAGATTTAACATTAAGTTTAGGATGCATACTTCCATTTGATAAGATTTGTGGTTGGTTTAGGCTACGCAGTATGCAGGAAAGACATGTGGCACATCAGTGAAGCAGTGATGTGCACAGGAATTAGTTGTGTCTGTTTGGTTCTCAGAACAAAAAAGGATTTAAAACAAACAAACAAAAGACAAAAAAACATATTAAACTTAGACTAAATAAAAAAAATAAACCTACCTCACGTTACCCACAATAAAAGAACAACCATATAATAAAACTAGCTGCTTTTGTTGCAACCCCAATGTCTTTGCTTGATGTGGACCACATGCCAGCTTTCACTTTTTGGGCCTTCAATGATTCGACTCTTTGAGGCACAAAACTTCCACTTGGGTCTGACACAATATGACTTGGCAACATTCCTTTTGCTGCGACCCTAGCTATGCTCATTCATGCATTGCAAATCATGGGAGCAATGTATTATTTATGCTTCAAAACATTTGAGAGGACAGAGGCTGCGCATTGCCACAAAACGAGTGTGAAATCGCTAAACGTGTCACGACCGGGTCTGCGCCGCTCCGATCAGATGGAAGCAGCTCAAGGCAGGGGGGGCTAAATAATATGTTGGACAGGCAACCCATGACTAATGTCAATCAAAACCTCTCCATGTGTCCCATTGAATTAGACCGCAGCAGGACATTCCTTTGACTCACCCCCTAAATAACCAGCTGGCACTTTGGAGTGGCAGTAACTTGAGCATTCATCAAAAGCTACGGTAAGATTTGCTAAGCATAGTTTGACCCTTAGGTCTAATAATCAATCACTGTCTGACTCAATAACCTTTTTATTGTAAAGGAGTCATATTTAATTGGCAAGAGTGAAATGCCACTTTCTACCACCTCTCTCACTTACAGGCAAAAACGACCTCACCGCCATTTCAAACTATTTGCGCGACTATAAGGCAAT